ATATAAAGAAGGACTTAGAGAAAAGTGCTACCAAAAATACATGTATTCCACACACATCTGTGGAGACCAGGGACAAGTAGAGGTGGTACTTTATGAGATTCCTCAAACTTCCTTGTTATTTTTGTTAACCTGCATCTCTCTCTGCAGTTACTAACAAAAATCCTATACAAATGCTAGGTGGGGGTTGTGTGTTTTTTTCAGAGCTGGGCAGGGTAAGAAAGAAGTAGGGGAAATGTCTATCTTGATTCAAATGAATAAAGCCATTTTGGTAGCAGGCTTGGGGGTTGGGGGTGGCACCCAGTAGAAGAGTAGGTGGTGGCAGCAGTGAAAGAGACAGAGAGCCAAACCCCTGTGACCTTCAAGAGACGAAAAAATGGTGGTGAATGGGGAGCCATTTGAGATAATAAACTCTGGGGTTAAAACTGGGGAAAAGGGCTATGGCTCCCCATATCTTGCCATATCTGTTCATACTTTATGACAACAGTGGTTTTCTGGGAGGCTCCTTTTAGTCCTCTTTCCTGACCAATGTCTCTTCTATTTTCCAAGGCCATCTTGCTAATGGTCTCTTGACTAATGTATATTCTAATACTCCCACAGCAATAAGGGGAATAACCCTGACCTCTCTAGAAACGTAAAAAGTCCTGGTGTTTTTTCACCATTCCACTGATTTTTAACCCAGCTTCCTAATGATTGGGTCCAATCATTTACAATCGTTCTTCACTTAGCAGGGTTTCAAGGTATATTCAAATCTTTTTTTTTAAAGATTTATTTATTTATGCATACAAGAACTGGGGTACAGGCCAGAGGTGCGGGAGGGTGAGAGGATTCACCAGAGACAGAGTGGGGAGTGGAACAGGCGAACTGACTGAAATACACTGCTGAGGGGAGCAGCAGGCGAGACAGGAGAAGTCTGCTGCACCATGTGGGGTATCAACTCATGCTGCAGTGGCTGCGGACAGCTTCATAGTTCTGTGACTTAACCCCTTGCACCACCAGGGAGGCCCAGTATATTCTCATCTTAACAGTAAGGGCTCAATAAGCATTTGTTGATTGATCGCAGTCTATAACCTAATTGGGGAGACAATATGCCCTCATGAAACAAAAAGCCATGTAACCACAAGCAGAAATTAAAGAATACAGGGGCTTCCCTGGTGGCTCAAGGGGTTAAGTCTCAGAACTATGAAGCTAGAGGCAGCCACTGCAGCACATGTTTGAGTTTGAGCCCCTGGCCAGGGAGCTGACCCACATGGTGCGGCAGACCTTTCCTGTCTTGCTGGCTGCTCTCCTCAGCAGTATATTTCAGTGGATCTGCCCAGTCTGCTCCCCACTCTGTCTCTGGTGAATCCTCTCACACACACCCCACCCCCAGTACCCCTGGCCTACACCCCAGTTCTTGTATGCATAAATAAATAAAATAAATCCTTTTAAAATAGAAATTAAAGAATACAAACTGAGTTCACAAAGGTTCAGGAGATACAAAGTAGGTAAGTGATCTGTCAGGTTGAGCTAGTTGGGTAAAGTTTCCAAGAGCACATAAGTTTTGAGCTTTGAAATAGAAATTTAAGAAGGTGATGGATATGAGTTGGTGGAGAGGTGGACCTTTTCAAACAAATGCACAAAGGGAGACAATGTAAGATATTATATAACTCAAGCCAGGGCAGATGCCTGCCCCACCCAAGCATTTCCCTGTCTCAGCAGCTCTACATGATCTGCCACCATACCTTGTTTCAGTTAGAAGAGATCTCCCTGTGACCTAGTGCCCACCAGGCTCTCTCCTTTATCAAATACACAACCCACGCAGCACTAAATACCCAGTACTCCAGTACTCCCAGTACTCCAGATGCAGGAATGTTTGCAGGCATTGTGAGCCACTATGATCCATCTATCTAGTCAAGACCTCAGGCAGGAATAAGTGCTTTTCTGTTTACCCTGTACATGACAGAGGTAGGACAAATGCATATTGGATTAGAAAGAGGCAGAAATATGTAGAGCCAAAATGGTCATGTTACCTTGAGCAGGCAAATACCACTCTGAAGGTCCCATGTGCTGCCACCTATGAAAAATCCCAGGTAGTGTGGCTATCTCTCCTTCCTGACAGGAGAGCCTGGTCATCACAGAGCATATATCAAGCAACAAAGTACACAGTACACTGCAAGGTGCCATACAGAGAAGTTAAATTACAATCTCTGCCCCTAGGATCTTGCTGTCTAACAGGAAAATTAGGACATGGCTAGGCAGATAATATATATGATACATTTATTTAAAAATTGTCAAATGTACAAGTGTGATGTCATTCTATTCCCATCCATTTGACCAACATTTATTGAATGTCTACTATATGACCCCAACTGGAGCCACAGAGATACATAAAACTTGCCCCTACCTTCAAGGAGTTCAGTTTAGTGGAAGAGAAACCAATAATTACAATACAATATGGCTTATGCCATATAGACAGTCCTTGACTTATAATGGTTCAACTTAGGATTTTTTGACTTTACGATGGCGTGAAAACTATATGCATTCAGTATGAAATAATACACTTGTGAGAGAGAGAGAGCACAGCAGAAGCTAGCCAGAACTCCCAGTTAGCACTTTCACCTTCTGATAGTTTCAGCGTATTTGGGTTTATTGGGATGTAATCTCATCACAAGTTGAGGGGTTGGGGAGGGTCTGTATAACATAAACCTGTACAAAGTGCTGTACAAACCTGTACAAAAAAAGGGAAAACTAACTGAACTTGAGGGAGAAAGGGGGAGGTGAATAGGAGTCTTCCAGAATGTGAGACTTGGGGAGGGGTTGATCAAAGAGAGGACACCCCTGGATGTGCAGGGAAAGGTATAAAATAGTATTACATTTCTGGGAAAGAGTCTGAAAGAGTTGGAACTTAGTGTGCCCAGTGAAAGATGAACAGAAAAGGTGAGAAGTGACCTGAATCTGAAGAAAATTTTATGCCTGTTAGGGAGTGAGAACTTTATCACATATGCAAAGGGGGGAAATCAAAGGAATTTTTTAAAAAATTTTTTAAGATTTATTTATTCATTCATTCATTCATTCATTCATTTAAGCACTGGGTACAGTCAGAGGCGCGGGAGGGTGAGAGAATTCACCAGAGCCAGAGTGGGGAGCAGAACAGGCAGACTGATGAAGTACACTGATGAGGGGAGCAGCGGGTGGCAGGAGAGGTCTGTGCGCCATGTGGGACCCTCCTCTGGTGGCCGCGGAGCAGCCGGGGATCTACCCGGCGCTGTAGAGGCTGCAGGCAGCTTCGCAACCCAGCGCTCAACCGCTGCACCACTGGGGAGAAATTTTAAGGTCCTCCCTGGTGGTGCAGGGGGTTGAGCACAGCGCTGTGAAGCTTTCCGCAGCCTCTGCAGTACTGGTTAGATCCCTGCCGGCAGCAGAGCAACCCACATGGCGCCACAGACCTCTCCTGTCTCGTCCGCTGCTCCCCTCAGCAGTGTATTTCAGTCATTCTGCCTGTTCTGTTCCCCACTCTATCTCTGGTGAATCCTCTCACCCCCCACACCTCTGGCCTGTACCCCAGCTCTTGTATGCATAAATAAATATTTTTTTTTAAAAAAGGAAATTTTAAGCAAAGAAATTTTATGATCACATGTAAATGATCCTGCCCCCTAGTTTGTGACTTTGGGCAAGTCACTAAATCCCTGAGCATCAGTGTCTCCATCTGTAACATGGTGAGAGTAGTGGTATTTACCTCACAGGGTAATTGATTTGAGGAATAAGTGAACCGATGTATGTGGAGCAATCAGCACACTGCCTCACACATAATAAGTGCTCTGTGTTAGCTGTTATCATCTTGAGTGTTTCTTAGAAAGGTAAGTTTAATGGCAGCAGGGAACATAAAGTGTAATAGGGGAAAGACTGATGACAGGAGATCCAATTAAGATGATATCGCAGCTTAATCCAGTGATAAATAAGGTCTTGAACTGGAATTTGGATGTAGGAAGTTATGGAGATGAAAAGGTGACGGGCAAGTCTAGCTTGGGACACTAGCTTGTAGACAGGGACAACCATTAACCAAATTCAGAGATAAGGATAGCCAGAGGATAGGGGAGTGGGTGAAGGAAGAAATATTAATGAGTTCGACTTGGGACCTATTGAGATTGAGAAGCGAAGCCCAGGAAGATGGGAACCTGGAGAACATCAACATTTAAGGGGAAAGCCAGAATAGCCAGTGGAGAAAAGTGGTCAGCAACCGCACTGTCAGTATGAACTGCATGTGGAGAGGTGAAGGGCAGGGGTGGTGGGGAGTGGGGTTGGAGGTTGGGAGATGAGGGGGTTGGAGGGGAGAGATACTATCATTAGCTCACCATTTCTGTTACACAGTCCTCCACCCAAGTCCCCAATAGGGATAGAACCCATTTTCTAGTCAGTTATTTGCTTCTTGCTTAATGGTTTTCTGCTTCGTGTAGAGACCGCATTTGTCCCTTTTGCACTCTCCGAACTGAAAGGTCTGGCACGGTCACCTAGGCGACCTCAAAACACAAGGGAGGAGGCAGGATGGAGGGAAAGGTGGGAAATGATTTTTAAAGAAAAGAAAAAGTCCGCGACGACCTCTAATAATTAAAGTTCCACCTCCTTATATCCTGCCACGCCGCTTTCCTGCCGCTCTTTATCTGGCTCCTGGCCGCGAGGGAGGACGGGAAATGTAGTCCGCAAGCCTGACCAGGGTGGCACTACCAAAGAACTCGATTTCCCAGCTGGCTCTTCAAGCGCGTGCGCAGATGGCTGCCCCAGCGAGTGGTAAACAGAGACGTCAGGCGGGGGCTGCTGCTTGGAGCAAAACAAAAGGGAAACCCGGGGGGCGGGGGGTGGGGGGGTTTGATCGGGGAATCAGTGCAGGAGTAAGAGAGACTGGGGTGGCGGAGAAGTGGACCCTATTAAGAGTGGAGAGAAGGGAAGAGGCGGGGGGGAGGGGGAGCCAGGGGAGGGGCAAGTGACGCGGGGAGCGGGGCGTGGGGGAGGGCAGTGATCCGGGTGGAGGAAATTTAGGAGGAGTGTCCGGGGGGCAGCAACTTAAAAGGCGGAGGGAACTGCGGCTAAAGAGACTTTCGGGGATGGGAGCGCAATATTTGAGAGGATACGGTACCTCTGGTTTAAAAGAGCAGGAAGCTGAGTGAGAGGTTGGAGAAAAAGTGTCTTCGCTAGGCGGAGGTTACAGGTGGTGTCTCGGAAAGAGCTCTGAGGCTGCAGGCTGTAGTCGAGAAGAGGATCAGAGAACTGTGTGTGGAAGGAACAGCTAGGGGGCTAGTGCCCCGGAGCGCGCGGAGTGGGGGAGTTCTCGACTTTCTGAAGACTGGCAGGAATGTGCCTCCTGGCCCTCAGTGCTTCCCCCCTCGGGGGAGGCATCGTGAGGGACTGTGGCAGGCTCCTCTGAACGCTGAGCGGCGGAGGTCCAACTCCACGTATGGATCCAGGGAATGAGAATTCAGCCACAGAGGCTGACGCGATCATAGACCTCGACCCCGACTTCGAACCCCAGAGCCGTCCCCGCTCCTGCACCTGGCCCCTTCCCCGACCTGAGCTCGCTACCGAGCCCTCCGAACCGCCCGAGGTGGAGCCAGGTCTGGGAGAGAAGGTACACCCGGAGGGGCGCTCGGAGCCGATCCTGTTGCCCTCTCGGCTTCCAGAGCCGGCAGGGGGCCCCCAGCCCGCGATCCTAGGAGCTGTAACAGGTCCTCGGAAGGGAGGCTCCCGCCGGAATGCCTGGGGAAATCAGTCATATGCAGAACTCATCAGCCAGGCCATTGAAAGCGCCCCGGAGAAGCGACTGACACTGGCCCAGATCTATGAGTGGATGGTCCGCACTGTGCCCTACTTCAAGGACAAGGGTGACAGCAACAGCTCAGCAGGATGGAAGGTAACTATGACCCCTTACCACAGTCCCAAAACTGTATGCCCTTGGGCCCCCTAACCTCCTTACTTCTACTCTGGGGCCCCTTTAACAGCCCCAACCCAGATATCCACCTTCAATGGTCAATTAGACAAACATTTACTTAGAACATAGTATATACCAGGCTCAATGCTTGATGCTGAAGGATCACAGATGAATAAGACACTGTCCTTGCCTTGGAGAAATTTTAATTCTCTGCTCACTGCTCAACACTTCCAGCACTTTGGCTTGGGCCACCCCAAACACTTATTCCCACAGAGAAGTCTTTATCCTATGTACAGCAGGAACTGTGTGGATTCCCCCACATGAACCTAGCCTACCCTCCTCCCCCACCTCCCACCCCAACACCTTTTCTCCCATTCCTGTGGGATTACTTGGATTCCCTGCTTGCCTTCCAAAACCTCAGTGTGAGGTACTGTTCTGGAACTGCTCACTACCTGAGAAGAGGGAGTGAAGAGGCAAAAGGTTGGTTTCTTTCCTTTTATGGGATATTTATGTGGTAAGGCAGCTGATCTTACACACTAAGGAGGGAAGAGGGGTTTTAGCTGGTACCTGTCTCAATTTTACCAGATAATACCAAGAAACTCCCTCCTCATAAGGGACTACCCAAATTTGGGAACGTCTTCATTTATTGTTGAGGAACATTAGTCATGAGGAAAATAGATAGACGTTAGAGCACAGGTTGGCAGTGCCTTTGGTCTCCCATGAAGAAACTGAGAAAAGATCTCACAAATTGCTCTAATCACAAGATTGGGGAGGCTTAACTCCTATTGATGTCTTGTACTCTCCATAAGTGGTGAGGTCAGCAAACAAGGAAGTCCAGAAGGTTGAATGAACAGTGGGTCATCCCCTAGGCATAAGAAACCCAGGGATAAGATCTGCAGTGTCCCTAGGGGTTGGGCAGAACAGAAAACAGGACAGCTGACTGAGAGACCCTTGGCACTATTTCTGGGTAGACTGCCACACCACCATCTCTGTTCATAAAGAGATCCCCTCCTTGGAAGCAGCCTACACAGCTGTTTTTCTTTTCCCTTAAGTTCATTTTCCGGAGTTGTTATTTATGCTGTAAGAGTATCGTCCCCTCCTTATAATTTACACATATATGGGACTTTTTTTAGTCTACAAAGTAGTTTTTCCCTTTTTAATTTTATTAATCTTCACGGCAATTCTGAGATTCCGCATTTTACATAAGGTAGAGAAAGGCTAGGAAACTCTCCTGATAGTAGAATAAGGACTTGAACTCGGGTCTAACTATAAATCATATGCTCTTTCTGAAGTTGTGCTGCCAGATTCTCTTCTCTGGAATGATGGCAAAGCCAAATCAAGTAGACCCTGGGTCCGCCAAGGGTCTCATTCCCTGGTCCCCCACTCCAAGGGGGAAGCCTGGTGATATGCCAGGGTTCCTCCCACCCCACCAGGGGGCGGCACACTCACTTAGAACCAAAAAAAAAAAAAGCCAATTTAGGTGGCATGGGAATCAATTAGCAGTCATCCTCTTATAATGGGTAATTATGAGCTTCTTGAGAGCTGACCTTTCCAAAGAGGAGGTTGTACATGTTCTGAGACCTAAAAAAGAGATGAACAAATGGACCTCATGGGTACTGTGTAGCAGGGCAAGGAATGGGCCTTCCTGGTAGACCCAGAGTTAGAGGATGAAAAGGGGGAGAACCATGGTACCAGAAGTCACTGTGGTCCTTAGTAACTAGTTCCTTGAAGGAACTAGGAGTGTCCATGCAGCCATAGTAATTGGAAGTGCCATTACTGCAGGGTCCCAGGCAAACATGGAGTTGTCCAAGCTAAAGAACCCTGGAACTAGAAGCTCCTAAGCATCTTTCCCTAGGCAAAAGGTCTCTATCTAGAGCACCAGTCAGAACATGAAAGAGACTTCGAACTCTTCAGAACCTCAGCTCCTATTTGCTCCAGCCCTTCTGGGCTCCACCCTATTTTCTAAACACTAAGCTCCATCTGGGAGGTCAAATGCCCCTAAGGTTAGAGATCTTTGTGCACAAATTCTTGAGAAGTAGGGGAAAGGGGTAGGGAGGACAAGGGAGGTTGGGGGTGGAAGGGAAGAAACACAAAAGGATGGTGTGACTAGCCTGGGGAAACCAGGAGAAATAAGCTGCTCTGAGGGCTCAAGAAGCTGCCAGTCTCAGCAACTTGTACCCCTGGAAAAAACTTCTCTCTTACAAAATATTAACAGCCAGGGAAGAAGGGAGAACAATATCTAAGGCACTCAGGAACCAACAGACCTTCAAGGGAAGCCTCACCACCATCACCCAGGGCTCACCCACCAATCAGGCAACAAATAGTATAGCTTCTGTACCGGCAGCTTGAGTACGTGCTGGGAACTTGGCACTCTGAGGGGCACTCACTGTTGGGGACTGCCCAGCTGGACAACGTGATCCATGTCCTTGGCACTTCCATTTAGTGAGACTAATCAAAAACTATAAACAACACAATATAGGTTCGATAAAATTTTGTAGAACAGATTGAAAATACTGTGTAAGAAATTTGGCTGCAAGAGTCAAACCACCTTATGAAAGAGCAGGGACTTAAACTTGATCTTGATAAACTGTAGACTTTAGGGAAGGGGAGCCTTCCCAGAACAAGGAGGGAAGGAGAAATGTGCCTTTTGTGTTTGTGGCACAGTAAGAAACCTGGCCTGAATGTTAAGGACAGTGAAGGACCTATGTCCTCAAATTGAGAGAAATCTTAAAAAAAGTTTTTTTTTTTCTTTTAAAGATTTATTTTTATTTATGCATACAAGAACTGGGGTGTGGGCCAGAGATGCAGGGGTGGGGGGTGTGAGAGAGGATTCACCAGAGACAGTATGGGGAGCAGAACAGGTGGATCTACAGAAATACACTGCTGAGGGGAGCAGTGGGAGAGACAGGAGAGGTCTGCTGTGCCATGTGGGTTAGCTCCCTGGCTGGGGATCAAACTCATGCCACAGTGGCTGCAGATAGCTTCATAGTGCTGCGACTTTAACCCCTGTGCTATCAGGAAGGCCCAGGAAAAAAAAAAAAGTTTTTTTTAAAGGAATCTTTAAATTTTACAGAGATCTGGGTCCCGAGTGCCCTGGGAGGAATGGAGCAGCAGTCAGGCTGAGCTTCCAGGCCCCCCACCTAGTCAGAGAACTGGCTCAGGACAGGGTGGGTCAGTTCTGGGTTGGTGTTCTGCCCTGTCCTGTAAACTCTACCCAAGCATGCACTCAAGGAACAGGGTGGAGCTGTGGAGTGCTCTTTCCTACCTGAGCTGGGAGCACATCTCCCCCATGCCCGCCCACCCCAGACACCTCCCCCAGAGATTGGGGGGACTACCTTGCCAGGAGCTTGCTAGGAGCTACCTTTCCAGGGTGGGTGCCTGGCCCTCTGCAATAGGTTGTTATTCAGGTTGTCTCCCAAACCCTTGTGTGGAGAAGTCTGGAGCAGAGGCTGCGCAGCTTGTCTCTAGGTGGGAACTGTTTGCAACTCCCCCCTTGTTCCTAGTCCCTGCCCCTGCACCTGCCCATTTTCCCCTTGATTCAACTAGCTCTGATTTTCCAGGAATGCCCTTCTGTGTCCCAGCATCCCTGTATTTTTTTTAGATTGATTTATTTATGCATACAGGAGCTGGGATATTGGCCAGAGGTACTGGGGGGGGGGTGGTGAGAGGATTCACCAGAGACAGAGTAGGGAGCAGAACAGCAGATCTACTGAAATACACTGCTGAGGGGAGCAGCAGGTTAGACAAAAGAGGTCTGCTGCACCATGTGGGTAGCTCCCTGGCTGGGGATTGAGCTCTTGAGGCAGTGGCTGGCTATAGCTTGATAGCACTGTCTTTAACCCCTGTGCCACCAGGGAGGCCCCCCAGCATCCCTTTAGATGGGACTGCTGGCTACTCACCTCCCCTACATGCACCTCATGCCACTTTCCTGCTGCCTCTGTCCCCTCCAGAACTCGATCCGTCACAACCTGTCCCTGCACAGCAAATTCATCAAGGTTCACAACGAAGCCACCGGCAAGAGCTCTTGGTGGATGCTGAACCCGGAGGGAGGCAAGAGTGGCAAGGCACCCCGCCGCAGGGCAGCCTCCATGGATAGCAGCAGCAAGCTGCTCCGTGGCCGCAGCAAGGCCCCCAAGAAGAAACCAACCGTGCTGCCAGCTCCACCTGAAGGTGCCACTCCAAAGAGTCCTGTGGGCCATTTCTCCAAGTGGTCAGGTAGCCCTTGCTCTCGAAGCCGTGAGGAAGCCGATGTGTGGACCGCCTTCCGTCCACGGAGCAGTTCAAATGCTAGCACTGTCAGCACTCGGCTCTCCCCCATGAGACCAGAGCCTGAGGTGCTGGCAGAGGAGGAAATGCCAGCCTCTGTCAGCAGCTACGCCGGGGGAGTCCCCCCTACCCTTAATGAAGACCTGGAGCTGTTAGACGGGCTCAATCTTGCATCTTCCCATTCCCTGCTATCTCGGAATAGTCTCTCTGGCTTCTCTTTGCAGCATCCTGGGGTTCCGGGCCCCTTGCACACCTACAGCACCTCCCTCTTTAGCCCAGCAGAGGGGCCCCTGTCAGCAGAAGGGTGCTTCTCAAGCTCCCAGTCTCTGGAGGCCCTGCTCACCTCTGACACGCCACCACCCCCTGCCGATGTCCTCATGACCCAGGTAGATCCAATTCTGTCCCAAGCTCCAACACTTCTGTTGCTGGGAGGGATACCTTCTTCCAGTAAGGTAGCCACAGGAGTTGGCCTGTGTCCCAAGCCCCTAGAGGCTGCAGGCCCAAGTGGTCTGGTTCCCAGCCTTTCTATGCTAACACCCCCTCCAGTCATGGGGGATGCGTCCGTCCCCAAGACCCTGGGGACTCCCATGTTCACACCCCCTACTGAAGCTCCAAGCCAAGACAGAATGCCTCAGGATCTAGATCTTGATATGTATATGGAGAACCTGGAGTGTGACATGGATAACATTATCAGCGACCTCATGGATGGGGGCGAGGGACTGGACTTCAACTTTGAGCCAGGTATGGCACCCCTTGATCACGGTAGCCTCTCACAACCTCTACCCACTCCTGGGTGCCCATCTAGTCCCATGATCTGAGCAAGGGGGAGATTTAGAACTAGGAATTGCCAGAATCCCAGGGATTAGAGGGAAGATGTCATAGTGGAGTGGCTTCCTTTCCAGATAGGACCTCTGGGCCCCCCAGCAGCACCCATCCTTACAAAGTGTGACCCTTGATGGTAGAAACTTGTCATGTCCCGGATGAGCCTCTTACTTTGTCCTCCATTTCTTCTTCCCACAGATCCCTGAGCCATGGCTGGAAGCTTTGGCCCCTGCTTCAGAGGTGGAGTCAGGCGTGTCCAAATCCACTCTTTACCCTTGACCCCTCCCCGGGAATTGGGACCCTACTTTAGAGCTAGAGTGGGGTCTGTTCACATGGGTGTTGAGGAAATTATAAAGGAAAGCTGCCTCAAGGGGACTGGGGCGGGGGGAGGGAAAGGGTGGGAGAAAGGGAGAGGGTTTATTCTCACTGTGCCAATTAGGGGGTAAGGCCCCCTCTTGGGAGCCATCCTTGACTCCCCCCCCATTCCTACCCCCTGGGCCTTGTAGCAGGGGTGGGCAATGCTGTTGGAAATGTGAAGTCACCAGTGGCCTTACCCCTGCCTTTGGGGCAGGACTTTTTGTAGAGTCTTATCTAAGCTGGTCCAGGCTAGGTTGAGCCTGGGATTTTTATGCAGTGGCCCCTTAAGCCAATAGGGTTGGGGGAGGAAGCGGGGACCTGGAAGGGTCAAGGTCTGAGCACTGGAGTGGCTCACCAGGCCAAATCACCCTTGGAAGGCTGCAGATAACAGAAAGACTTTTTTTTGAACTTTTAAAGAACTCTAAACACAAATATAGAGATTTTTAATAGTAGCAAGGTGCTAGTGATGGGGAGAGTGCTTTTTTCTTTCTGAAGGCCTTGTCAAAGCGATATGATGCAAACACTACGGACAGTACTCAGGAAACGGGGAAGTGGGAGAGAGAGCTCCAGGCCCACGGAGAGGGTAGAGAACAGCAGTAGGGAACAGCACTAAGCCAGGAGAAGAGCACTCATGTGGACCAGAACATGGTCTGGGTGGAGCTAGCTTGGAGTTTCCCTAAGGAAAGAGCTAAGCCAGGTCCCCTATTCTGTCAACCTGTGCCTGCGAGTGTGTGGTGTTGGGGTGCAGCCACACCTTCCCATTGGCCCAATCACTGTGGGTTTGTGCTATGGTGGGAGAGTGTGTCGGAGGCCTGAGGCCTGGAATTAGTTTGTGGCCTGGGAAGGGGATGGGAGGGGGGAAAGAGGCAGGAAGGATTTAGGGTGGTAAAGTTAGGTACAGAGACCTCCCTGTTCAAGGCCCCTGACAGCTGTCCCTGCCCTTCTTCCCCTTGCCTGACTACAGGGGTTATGTGGAAGCTCGTTGGTGCATGCATGTGTGTGTGTGTGAATGTGAGTATGTGTGTGTGTGTGTGTGTGTGTGTGTGTGTGTGTGTGTTGGCAAATGGGGAGGGGTAGAACAAGGAAGGGGGAGCTGGGGAGCTTGGCTGAGGGTATGAGAAATGAGTGGGGATGGAAGGGAATGTGGATCAGGTTTACTAGCACCTGCCAGGGAGGCCATCTGGGGCTCCTCCACCCCAGCCCCCAAAGCAGCCCCTCCCCCAGTCCCCTTTGCATTGTCCCCTCCCCCACTCCTGCTGTGGGTTCCCATCATTTCCTGTGTCAGCGCCTGGCCTACCCAGATTGTATCATGTGCTAGATTGGAGTGGAGAAGTGTGTCAAATCAATAAATGAATAAATTCAATAAATGCCTATAACCTGCTCTGGTTTCTGCTGCCTCCCTGCTCCCCTCGGATAAGGGGGAGGAAGAGGGGGAGGCAAAGAGCCAGAGGAGGGACTTCCCAGAGGCAGAGAGATGGGGGGTGGGGGAATTTCCGGGCTGGGAGAGGTGGTGGAGTTGGGGGGTGGGGGAGATGCCGATTAGTCACCTAACCTCAGCAGGAGTAGATGGCTGATAGGCCTCCCTAGGGGAGATAGTCTGGTTGGAGAAGACCCCACCCCCTACTCCATCCCTTAAAGACTCATTGTACTAGACTTCACAGTCCTTCCTCACCCCCACCCATGTGCGTGCTCCTGCCGTTCCTACCCACTCCGAGGGCCTACATGGTGCTTGGGGCACCATTATGCCTTGGTGCAGATATTGGGAGAAATATTTCTCAAAAAAGGAAGCTCACATAAAATTCCAGTCATTTCATACCTAGTATCACTGCTCTCACTTGGTCATTTTATTTAGTTAACGATGTCTATCCCTCCTGTAAAATTCCACTCTGGTCCTATAAGGTGGTCCCCTGCGAACGGGTCCATCTTCATCAGATCTTGATGACTTGGACTGGGAAAGGAAAAGGTCAGTAAGTAAGTTAAAAAAAAAAAAATAAGCGGCCGCTTCCGGGATGATTTCTACCAACTAGGGCCAAAGGCAGGACAAGAGAGGTTGGGCATAGGCCTCGGGCATCGATGTCAGATTTAGAATGGAAATTCGCCCAGAGAGCCAGGGTAGATGAACCTTTGGCTGGCTGGTGGGAAAAGGTGGGTACTGGGACAGACCACATTTAGGAAGTCTTACTGGAAGGTTCATAGAGGATTCAATTTGAGCAAGCTTCTTGGCTTCTTGGCTTCTAAGCAACTTTATTCGGCTTCGCTCCAGGAAGTCACACTGTGTGCGCAAGGCATCTAGGAACCAGGAAAAAATATTCCCACATCCAAGGCCTAGAGACCTGCCATGCTCATTCCTCCTGTCATTCAAATGATCAGTTGGAGTAACTGGGTCTAAAGCTAGGCTGAGGAGTGACCTGAAGGAGCCTAAGCTTTGCCCTTTTCAGTGGGAATTGGGACACCAAGACACCAAGAGAAAAGAATGAAGGGGAAGAGGAAATAATGGGGTGGTGGTAGGGAGATATACTGAAAAGATGGCCGAGAAGATGGGGGAGAGGTGACACATGCCCACTGCGCCTGGTTTGAGCAACACATCCTCCTAAATTTGACCTAGATGTTCTTCCTTCTTTCTTAAGATCCTGTGATCCTACCTGCTGTAATACCTTAGTCCCGCCCTATATTCTCCACCTCCCAGCTGTGTGCAGTGTTCTCTGTGCTCTTCTCTCCACATTCATCATGCACCTTACCTGTTAGCTCAGGTTCGGGATTCTTCAGGAGGGGCACAAAGGCTTTGTAGGCATTTTCCAATCTGGTTCCTGTGGATACAGCAGTGCACTATCCCTAGTCCTGTCACCCAGTCTCCACCCTTCCAAGATTTCAGGACCTTAACACTCAACACTGCCTTGAAGTGGTGTACCATATTTTCCTCCCACTAAGTCCATCCCTAGGATCAGGTGGTGGGCATGGTATGTGTGAACTTAGCCAATAGTCTTTAAAAAGTGATCTTTCTTAGACTGCTGGACATGGTCAATTTGCATCTAGTTGAGGGTGCCCAATTTTAAGGACAAGATTCACAATCCACCTTGAGGGTCTTGCTCTATCCCTGGGGAATGCTCCGAAGACTCTACCTGGTGGCCCACGTTCGATCTTACAAACGTAGTAGGTGTTTCGAGCCGTAAGGTATTTGGTGGCATACTCCGAAGGGGTCTTGATCAGGAAAAGCATCTTCATTGTCCCCGCTTCATCACACAAATCGATGGTGACTAGAGGGAGGCCACAGGATAACTGGGGCAACTAGAGAAAGGGAGTGGGGGCCTCTCTGGTGGTGCAAGGGGTTAAGCACAGCACTGTGAAGCTATCGTCAGGAGCTACCCACATGGCACAGCAGACCTGTCTCGCCCGCTGCTCCCCTCAGCAGTGTATTTCAGTCAGTCTGCCTGTTCTGTTTCACATTCTATCTCTGGTGAATCCAGAGACACCCTTCGCACCTCTGGGAGTGGGAGCAATGGGGTGGGGGTAGGGATCCTATACGGAATAGATTCAAGAAACCATCTTCTTATCAGAAGGAGGGTTTGGGGTCTGGATGTGACCCCACTATTTTTGACCCTTGGCCATTAGCCCCCTCCCCAAACTCCTCACCTTTTTTAGCCAACCCCAATTTACTGCGTGTGTAATGTAGCAACAGGAGGACAGAGCAGTTGGTATTGGCCAGAAATTGCTGATTATCTGAGAAGAAAGGATGGGACACATGGCCCTTCCCTTGATATGCCATTCCTGTGGTCTTTACCACCCTCAAACCTCCCCGGCCTGACACACAGAGTAGATCTCTATGATGCCCCTCACCTCCATGTTTGATAAAGATAAACATGCTGTCAAGATGTCACTCTTCAGAGAGAAGATTGAGCAATCATACAGGAGGAGGGTGTTCTAGAGGTCTTGTGGGGGAGGGCAAGTGGGCCATAGGATTGGTGAACTGAAGAAGCAGATGGGTTGTATCTGAAGAAGTCCACACAGGGCAGACAGGGGAGTGCTACTGGCAGTTGTAACCGTCCACTATCCCTAGGGGTGGGGCCTGAGGCAGCAGTAGAGGGATTATGACATCAGAAGTGGTATGTGTGATGCAAGGTGGAGTCAGGGTTAGGAGAGATGAACCTGGATGAGGTCTGTAAGATTTGTTGGGATGGGGGCAACATGTAAACCTAGCTCTAAACTGGATCTTGGAAGGAGCACCAGGCATAGAGAGAAAAGTCGCTTTCTAGAACAGTCATCCTCTGAGTTAGTAGTACTGGCGCTGCCATAGTGTTAGTCTATTACAACGTCCAACCCTCAGTACCATGCCTCCCCCATTTCCCTGGCTCCCCACCCCAACAATAGACATTCTTGATGATTATCAACAGAAACTTTATTTTGAATTGATTCAGGAACAATTGGAGGGTAGATGGGAAGAGGGAGGGATAAAAGAGAAAGGATTTGATAAAGAGGAGGGCTGGGTTAGGGAAGATGAGAATCATGTACAGGGCAAAGGGGCAGGCGGTTAAGTAGGCAATACTAAATGAGGGCACAGTTACAGGTGGGCACAAAATTCAAAATCTGTCAAGGGATAGGGGGGTGGAAAGGTGGATTTGGACCCAGGCTGGTGTGTGAGGAAAGTTAGTACAAATTTGGGCTATAAGACTCTGGGGTACAGTCAGTATCAGGGCTCAGGCTTCAGGGTATAACAGGGGGGAGCCCAGTAGGGGCTATGCTGGCTGCAGGGAGAGCCTCCAGGACCATCCCCTAGGGCCCCTCCTTTTGGGGGAATCTCACTGACATGACAGAACCGTTCACTGTAGTCTGGCTGCAGACTCTCCGCCAATCCCTTAGATACACCACTCCAGGCCTAAAGACAGAGATCTCTGGGTCAGAGGTCAATTAGGGACTAGAAGTAAAAGGCCTAGGCTGTGCGCCAAGGGAGCTGTCACAGCATCAGCAACCACTGTGATTACAGAAGAGACACACACTGCTGGCCCCCAATACCACTGTTTCCTTCTGCCTCAATCAATCTATAATCAGTTCTCCTGTGTCTCTCTGTCTAGCCCATACCCGCATCAGTTGGCCACATCCTGACAGTGAAGCGCCCCCCCCCCTTCCCCTTGCTTCTGCTTCCCTCCCCATTCTCTGTCTTGCTGGTAGACAGTTGACAGTTGACAGACTGCAGTCTGCGTATGACAGTGTTCTCACCGAAAAGTTGCCGTGGTACTCAGTAACCAGATCCTCCAGGTTCTTGAGGGTAGGAATTCGGGGCATGGTCCTGAGGGGGGAGAAAAGGGGAGCAGGAGCACATGGGTTAAGTTCTTTGATTACCCTTCTCCTTGTTCTGCCATGTGGTGTAAAGTGATTCTGTATTTTGTGTCTGCAGCTTCCATCTGTCACCATGCCCACTTGGTGATCTCTCTTTCCTTACAGTCCTGGCCTCTGCTTTGTAGACCCGGTAACCCTCTTGCTATTCCCCACCACCCTCACCTCACTTTTCTGGGCTTCCCCAAATCTCACCGTTCCAGCCAGCAGTACACAAAGATGAGGCTAATAAAAATCAATCCCATGGAGCCAAGGGGGATGAACACAGCTTCTGATGCAAACAGCGAAGGATTTTCTATAGAGTAGAAGCAAGGAAAAGGAATCTGGCATTTGTAGTGCCCCTAATATGTGCCAATGTTTGTAGAGACCCAACCTGATGCCAGGCACTGAGCTAGACACCCTCTGCATACTTAATCCTCAAAATTCCTCAGCAGGGGAACAATTATTATCACCATTTCAAAGATGGAAAAAAAAAAAGGCAAACCAGAATCAAAGAGATTAGTAATGTGCCCGAGGTCAAAGAGATAGTATGTAAAGGACGTGGGGTTTAAACCCTAGATCTGTCTGACTCCAAAGCCATCTTCTTGCCATCTTCTGGAAATGCTCCCCTTTAAGCACTCTTTGGCTTCTTTTTCAATCCACACCCCCCACCCCAACAACACTCAGACTCAACCCTATTCAGAATGACCTTGCTTCCTGGGGGTTAGGGTTGAAAAGTGAGCTGAGCTAGACCAACAACTTTGAGGCCTAAGGGTAGGGAGTTAGAGGAAACAACAGTGGTGCTAGAAAGGTTGCAGTGCTGGGTTCATAGGTCAGAGCCATGCATTAGGCCCATCTCACCCCTTGAAGTATTGCTGCCCCACTGGATTGTGTGACTCCATTCGCTCCAAAGCTGAGCGCTTCCACAGAGCGGATTAAACCGGCTCTGAACACGGAATGTGTAGAGTTTCTGTGCATCCACACTAGGTAGAGAGAGGCTATGTCTGTGATCCACTGGTTGTTCCTTGGGGAGAAAGAGGGTAAGAAAAGCATAGATGTCTATAAAAGAAGGGGAAATTAAAACTGCTACCCCCCACCCATGTCGTCTTGTTCTTTCCATTCCTCCCTTCCTCTGGACTTGGCAAGCCAAACCTACTCCCTTCACTGGCTAGGTCAATTGCCTCTTCTCCTGATCCTCTTAAGTGTTAATTGCCTATCTCTGGGTATGGGAGAGAAATCTTAATGAAGACTCGATGGAGATGACAAGGAAAGGAGTTGGAGCAGGGCAGAGAATGGGCATACAACAAAAGCTTCACAACAGGCCCTCCCATTTGGCTAAATCCTTTATCCCCATTTGCTTGGCCTTGACTTCTATGCTCAGGTGTCCAGTCACTCACGGTCCAGCTCTGGTCCCGGTTACTCCGATACTGCACCAAGTGCTCCAAACATTTGTTCAAGTAGCTGTTGCTCCAGCTTAGTTCCAGCTGAGATTCACTCAGGTTGCGAAGTGTTAGATTCTCAGGAGCCCAGGGGATCACTGGAGATATGTGTGCATGTGTGTTCAATGTCCTGGCTGGACAAGTCAGGATCCTGAAGATCATGCACCAGACCCTCCCCTTCCCCATCCCAGTCCCTCATTGCCTCTTTTCTGCCCTGATGGCAAAAAGAAACCATCCCAAATATTCCAGTACCTTGTAATACCCCCAGACAGTTAACCACCTTTCCAAATTACCCAGATTCTGCAGTTTCAGTGTCTGTATGGCCTTGCGCTGGGGATCCTGTGGGTCCTGGAGCTGGACGAAAAATGTGTAATAGAGTTCGATTTCTTCTTTTCTAAACCAGCAGCCAGAAGTAATGCCTTTAGACATTAGGTAGTGGCCACACTCCCGAACTTCATCATTATTCTGGTACCTGGAGAGAGGTTTGACAGAAGAGCAACAGTGGGGTAAACTTGGGGACCACAGAAATCCATGGTGCAGCCCCATCTCCTCTGAACTGACTTATGACTTGCCCCAGGAGAAATTAGCAGGGAGCCTGGGGTACTGACTACCCTCTTTCTTGGTCACCATATAGTCTCTCATCCAACCACCTCCTCTCCCTCCCCTGTGCAATCCCCTCGTCCCTTCTCATACCAATAATGCAGAGTCAGGTTGGTGGGCTGGGACTCAGAGCTGCTGTTCCAAGTGCAGTTCATGTACTCAACATTGAACACTAAACACTGAACCACTGGAAGGGGCAGGGTGGAAATAGCATGGGCTCCAGTGGGGGTAGAGGTCGGGAAGAAATCTGGATTGGGGAGAAGATGAAGTGGGGGAGGGGAAGAGAAGAAATGGTGGTCAGAAGAAGGAGCAGTATGAGGTCAGGAATCATTCCCTTGCCCCCCCCCCCACAACACTCTTAAATTCTGCCTGTATCATTGTAATGTCTAGTGGCAGTTTCCACATTTCCACAAGGTCCCTTCCCACAGCCTCCCTTCTCACCAGCCCCAGGTTTCCCACCAGTTATGATGTCTTCATTCCCACTGGATGCAAAGACCTTGGAGTTCAGCCCCACCCCTAGCAGGGGCAGCTGCAGGAATAAGAAGGATCTGAGTGGCGATAGTGACTTCAACATGGCGCTTTCTCGTCGTTCCCTGGGTGTAGACTGTGTCAGGAACCTGGGCCCCTCACCCTCTACCCTTCCCCACCCACACATTTCCTTCTGTCATAGCTTCCGGTGGAAAGAACCTTAGAAAACCAGGGTTCTACAGAGGGTGTGGCAAATGTGTGCTGTGACACAGGCAAAGTCCTCTGGCAGATTAGGTGTTAAATCTAATGTGTAGGTATAAAGCTGCCACTGCAAAGTGGTGGTTAGGCCTGGGTATACAATATTGTCACAGAATCAAGAATCCTCAGACCACCTAGATCCTGGGAAGAATCTGTTCCCCATCATCACTACTACTCCTAAGCATCTTCTCACCTAAATCATTTTATCTCCTATCTCAGAGTCTGAATCCCCCCCGCCCCATCTTATGCTATGCTCCTTCCTTAGCTCAGTCATCCTGAAATCTCTGACAAAGCTCTACAGTCTTGGGTGGATGGAAAATACAGTCTTGACCCCTGTGGGCTCACAGATAGCTGTTTTTCCTCTGGCCTTACCAAACCAGAGTATTCACCCCTAGCTGCTGCCTGAGCTAGGTCCCTGTTAAGACTGGCAAGGAGGTCTGACTTAAATGTAGATTGTGGAAATGGAGAAACCAGAATACCAGCTTCAAACTCCTCATCTTCCCCCAAACATGTTTCTTTTCTTGTGTTCCCTATCTCAGTTAATGGTATCATCACCCTCTCAGTCACCCAGACTTGAAGCCTCTCTCACCCTGAGAATCTAATCAGCTCTACTTTTGTGGTGCTTCTCCCAGCAGCCTCCTTCTTTCCCTGACCACAGCCACTGTGCTAAACCAGCCTTTCATTCCCTCTAGCCATGATTATTACTAGCATCCACTAACTGAGCTTACTTTCTAAGGCTCCCTACTCTCTAACCCATTCTTTATACTGTTGCCAGTTTTATCTTCCCTTCAAACACAGAGATGATTGGAGATACTACTTACAGAAATTGTTCATTCAACAAACCTTTATTGAGCTTTTAATATGTGACCCGACACAGTACTTATGTTCTAACATACCCTACTTTTCTGTGGGTTAAAATTCCTCAGGGTTAGCTCAAATGTTAATGAGCTCCTCCAATATTTTTCCTTTCTCCAAATTGGAATTACTTTTCCCATAGTGGTTC